AAAAAAAAATTTGTGCCTCTGTTCCCAACGGGCAGAACTATTGCGGATGAATCTAGCAGGGATTCGTCGCTAGATTCAGTCCACAAAGTTCCTCTGTTCTTCGTTTGGAATAAGTAACGGGAAAAGAACACACACAAAGGGCGATTAGGAGAAAAAAAAAAAAAAGCAACTAAACAAATAAGAAAGGTGATGACCTTGCGGTATCATCATTGAGCTTACGGGCCCTCAACAATTCAAAAGTCCATATGTCATCTTGACTCGAACTTAGGTCTATATTTCAACAGTTCATGGGTGCACTGACTGAGGTAGGTTCGTCGGTACTTACAGTGCACCCTGCTGAGCTGGTAGGGCGGTTATCTCGATCGACCAAGACAATGAAACATATGACCTTGCTCCAATACACAACACGCTATATGTATTTGGACGCGTTCAAGAAAACGTGCATTCGAACTAGTTCAACATTTTTAGCCTATCCCCACCGAACCTCCCCCATGCCTGATCACTGTACATTTTGCTTCGGGATTCGTTGTCGAGGAAAATGTACACTGATACGGTGTTTGGAATGGTGGTTTGAGCATGTGTTGCCTGATAGGAGCCTTAGACTTGCGAAGTATCGTGCTAGCACTTTAGTGGATTCTTATGGCTGCATGAGCGCACACTCGTACAACAATTATTATAAGCAAAAAAACAAGAGGAAGGTATGTTTCTAGTCTTTGTCTTTCAGAAAGGGTAGGCCGTAAAAACACCCCAGAGATATAAGTTGTCGTTGCTAAGTATCCATACCTTTTCGTGGAGCCTTCGAGAGTCGTAGAAAGGGAAGTTGTCCACACGACATAAATTATTCCCGACAACTAAGTGCCTAAAAGAAGGATCTATAGGATGGCTCCTATGGAGTTGGACGAGCTCCTCCGACAATTGAAAGAGCTAACAAAGAAGGGATGGATCCGACCTAGTACGTTTCCCTACGGTGCGACATTCGGGGATCGTTGAGGATGTGCATTGATTATAGAGGCCTCGGTGCCATCATTGTGGAAAACATTAAGCCTCTACTTGCATCGACGACCTTCTAGATAGGGTGTAGGAATGTAAGTATTTCACTAAATAGATTCAAAATTCGGCTATCATCAGATTGCGATCAGACTTGAGGATCAACAAAAAACTGCATTTCAGACCCGGTACAATGTGTACGAGTTTGTGGCGATGCCCTTTTGTTTGTGCAATGCGCCAAGTACATTCTAGCACCCAATGAATAGGGCGTTTCATGACTATTTAGATGAGTTTATTGCTGTGTTCTTCAGCGGCGTTCTTATCTTCAGTAGGACAGTCGAGAAGCATGCGCAGCACATCGACTTTATGCTAGGACTCCTTCGGCATCGCAAGTATAAGATTCACTTGGAAAAATCCAAATTCGGTCGCACCAAGATCTTATACTTGGGTCATGAGATATCCGCGAATGGATTTAGGCCCGAAGATGCAAAGGTGGCTAGTATAAGAGACTGGCCACGACCTCAGTTTGTGACGGAGGTAAGGTCTTTCTTGAGGAGGGCTACTGTCGTAATTTTGTAAAGAACTTAAATACAGTCACAGCCCCCTTGACGGACCTCACACGCCTTGAAACCCCGTGGGAGTGGACAGGCGATTGCGAGAGAGCCTTCATGTGACTGCAGTATGCTCTCACCCATCATGAAGTCTTGATGCTTCCCGATCGTGAGAAGCCATTCATTGTGACAACCAATGCAAGCCAATACGGCATTGGCGTGGTTTTGGCGCAACATGAGGGGAAAAATAATTCATTTTGTTTTTAACTTTTTAGGTTTGTGATTTTTAACTCGAGTTTGGCTAAGAATTTGAACATGCCAAACGCAAGTTAAAAATCAAAGACCTATACCAAAATGATTTTTTTTTTAATCATTAAAAAAAATGTTCAATCGAACACCTTCAGGAGGCGTTCGGTCGAACATCCGAACATGTTCGGGCATTTGAGAAAGCCCCGAACACATTCGGTGTGCTACACAAGACCAGAATGGTTTTATCCCTGGACGGAGGACGGTTTATAGTACTTTATACTGGACAATGTTATGACCTTGATCGAAGTTGTGCGCCGCATCAAGGAGACAAGGCTTAATGTTGTTATCCTCTTCTTGGACTTTGAAAAAGCTTATGGCCAAGTGAGCTGGAGTTTCCAACAACAATGCATGGAGTCATTAGGGGCTGGCCCCAACTTCACCCTTGGCGGCGTTCGGGCGTTGGGGGCTCACTCTCGAGGTTGACGAAACTGGTTGGCTGCGACTGCCAAAACCTAGCATGAGTGTGGCTATGGCGATGTGAGGAGGGTGCACGGGCACATAGCGGGACATGCCAAAGGGACCTGATAGGTTCCTGGCCATAACTTTCGGTTGACGACGTGTTAGGATTCCCTACCAAGCCGAGGAAGGTGATAGAGGAGAGGTGGGGACGGCTGGGGGGAGGAATCTGGGCGCCGCCACCATATCTTACCAAACTGATTGGGGCTTTGTCTCCGGTCTTCGATACGGAGGAGCTGTGACGTTACCCCGTTCCTGTTGATGGGGAGCGACCTGCAATAGTGTGTAGTTCATCTGTTAGCCGTGTGCATGATG